AATTTGCCATTATAACTGGCCTAAAATGCAAAGGAAATGTTAAGGAATTTTCGTATCCTAATTCCACTCCGAGCCGGTTATTACAAAAATATTTCCCTGATTGGCCCACGGGTATAATCAAAAGTCGATTGATACAGCGTTTTGCAATGGGTAATTGGGAGACCACACAGGAATCTGTGGAAATGGCAATAATATACTTCATCAATACTTTCTTGTTATGCCATCTTGGTGAGACCTTCATACGTATAGAAGACTTTCTAATGGTCGAAGATGGTAGGTATGAAATGTATCCTTGGGGTCAGATTGCATTTAATAAGCTGATTACATCACTCAGGCAAGACTTCAACCAAAGCAAACAGATGTATCGCTTATTTGGTATGCCTTATGCACTCAACGTTTGGATTTACGAATGTGCATCTACTCTAAGTCCAGACATTGCTGTTAAAGTGGCGAATGGTATTCCGATGATATGTAATTGGACAGTGGTGACTGAAAATCCAAAATATGAAAAGTTAATGACTAGCATTTTCTCCGAGGTAACATTAATTTTAAATTATCTTTTAATATTATATCAATAATAGTTTTTTTGTTATACATAACATTGTTATAACAATTTAAATATTTTAATTGCAGAATACTTTTTCAAACATTGCACCAACGCAAGATGAGGTGGAATCCCTTGATTTACCCGATAGTCAAGAGGTCAACAGAAATGAATTATCTACGCCACCTGTTGGTGCAAAAAAAGTGCATACTAAAGATAAGTCAGGTTTTGAGGATTTTTCAACAAGCCTTCCTGATCATTTATTGAGAAGATCATCTCGTGTATCTGATACATCATCTCCTCCACCATCCAAGAGGAGAAAGAATACTGATACACATAAAACAAAGGGTACACAAACTTTGTCAAAGCAGTCAAAGCCGCAATTAAATCAGTCATTCTCAATGCCAGCTGAAGAACATACCCCGCCTGCTAATGTATCTTCTGCCCATGTATCTTCACAAGTCTCAAAAGATAAGTCTGTATATCCCGATATTGAAGAACTGAAATAACATATGAAGGAATACGTAAGTAATGATATTTATTTTTTGATGTTAATTCTTAAATATAAATTTGAATCTGTAAATTTTTTTGAATAGGTTGACAGCAAATTTGAGTATCTTGTGAATTTGATAAAGGCTAATCACATTGAGGTGATGAATTCTAAGAATAAGGAGGATGACCAACAATCAAAGGTAACATATTTTGTATGTGTATTTTCGTTGTGTTTTATAAATTTCATAGGTCATTATGTTACAAATTCATTTAATGAAGGATATGGGCGGCAAGTCTACACCAAACATGGTTGAAGTTTCCGATGAAGAAGGCAATGATGGACACCGAGAAACCTCTCTGATTCAAATGAAACTTGATGTTGACAATCAGGTTTAATTTACTTTATTAAATTTGTACATAAAATTATATAATTTAGCATTAACTTAATTTTCTTTACAAAATAAAGAATGAAGATACGTTGAAGAATCATCAAGTAATGAAGGACGTTTCAGAACTTCAATCCCCAAATTCAGATACTCATCATAGTGATGAAACATGTGAACACAGCAAGGTAATTATAGCAGATTAATGTCATTATTAGTATTTATCCAAATTTTAAATGATACATGAAAATGTGCAAGTATGATTCGTTTAATTTTAATTATATTATTATGATACATTGCTGCTTTATTTGATAATTATGATACATTGCAGTTTAATTGGATTAATATGATACATGTCTTTTGCTATTCACATATGTATTTTCCAAGTTACTCTGTATTATACTAAACTTTTGTATTTAGTGTGTACGTGATACGTTTCAGGGCAAGATACATATCTATATGACTAGTTAAATTTGTTTGTCTCATCTATACAATTCGTAGTTTGCTGTTATATGTACTTGATACATTAAAAATCATTTTGTGTATAATTATTTGATGTTTAAGGTATCATAAATTGATCAGTACATTTTTTATTCAGGATGCTCCATCAGCACAAACACCTCATCATTTATTTGAAGGAACAATGAACGAAGATACATCGGTAATTTAATATTCATGTATCATATCAATATTATATGTCTATCAATATATTTTTACTTATCAGTGTAAACCATGTAGGATTCTACACCATCTGGTTCAATATCTCCAGATACACGCGAAGCCATGAATACACTTATTGCTGAGCTAAGAAGGCTGCCTACTAATGCAAATCAACAGGAGTTTATCAAAAATCAAAGTTTGCTTTCGGAGACAGTCAATTACCAATTGATATTCCAATCACAGATATTGTTGTCCGAAGCAAAATAAATACTCCTCATGCACGTATCCGAATGCCTTCGAGAAATTGCAAATCCCCTTATTTAACTTCATTTGGGTCAAGTGAAAAAGGAAAAGCGGTCATGACTGATGTAATGCGTCCAATTTTTCCATTTCAAGGATGTGAGATCACAAACCAAGCCCCTTCACATCTGATTGATGAGTTTATTGAGTGGGTTACTGCAGGGCTTCTTAAAGCTCATTCAAAAAAGTAAGTTTTATATAATTGTACTGAATCTGATAAATTTTCAAATTGCAGCTATTGTTACAATTTTGAATAACATCTTTTCACTACGCTTAATGCTACAGGAAACCATTTGAAGATAAATACAAATCAAAAGCATCTTCTTTAGGTTTTGAAATGGTGGATTATGTCGTTGCTTTTCCGACAAATAAGAATTGGTTTTATGACATGTCTCAGCCTAAGAACTATTGGACTGATCAGGTAAATAGATGCTTTTATAATGATGTATATAATACATTGTGTTCGTATGTTATCTATACATATCAAAATCATATATAACTTTCAGCAACCAGAATTTTTTTTAATTAAATATTTTTCAAATGCATAATTATTTTTATATTTTATTTGCAGTACATCGATGTTATTTTTTACAAATCCTCGTAAAAAATCAAAACTTCGAAGCATGGATCAATACAGATACACAACAGTCAATTGTTTGTTCAGCACACATATCAACAATACCCATGATAGGTATTATAACAATGAGGCTGATGATGATATTAGTACCCAAGAACACATTGATCGTGCAAGAGTTGTATCAGTACATGAGAGGTCAATAATCAACGTCATGAAAGGTTTTTCAATACCAGCTGGTTTACCATGGCATCTGGTGGATGATGTTTATATTCTGATCAATTATGATAGAGATTTTCATTGGGTATTAGCTGTGGTTGAATTGAATAAGAGGGTAATACACGTGTATGACTCTTCTTTGGGCACAGGGAAACGTGTATATTCTGACGAGATAAAAAAATTGTCAAGGATGTTACCTTCTTACCTGATTGACAGTGGTTTCTTTCAAAACAATGAGCGGACAAACTGGTCAGTTCTTGATGCATACAAGGACAAACAAACGGGTGTATCTTTAGAGTCACATATTCCTTTCAACATTGAATACGCTGAAGGTATCATGCAACAAGAAGACGATAGCATGTAAGTATTTTCAATTCTGGTCTGCAATATATGTGTAAGCTATTTTAGAAATTTATATTACGTATTTTATTGTAGGGACTGCGGGTTATTCGTAGCTACATTTGTAGAGATTTTGAGTGACCAACTTGTTATACCACCTGATACTGATGGACATCTTGCAAATTACTTACGCAATAGATATGCTGCATTGTTATGGAGATACGGAAGCGACAAGGTCAATGGTGGATACATAAGTGACAATGACGATCCACCAAAGCCTAAGGGTCAATTCACAACACCTACTGAAGATGACATTGTTAATATAGATTAGTAATTAGCTGGGACTGGATGAACAAGTTTATATGTTGTTTTGTGTTGAAGACAATTATCTTTTGTGTTTTTCTAAAAGCTTATTCGTATTACAATAGTTTGTTAGTTATGAATATTATGTTTTTTCAAGTTATTGTTTTAGAAACAGTTGTTGCTTTATAAAGTCAAGGTACAAATTTTTTAGTGTTTCAGTTTAAGTAATTTTGACAGCTACTTTACAAAATGAAGTATATTACACTTAAGTTCTAATGTGTATGATACATTATTATCTGATTTTTAAGTATTTTTCACTTATATAAATGATGTATATGATACACAAGTTATAATATATACATGAAAAAATATTGCAGTTATATATTTAGCAACTTGAATTATACGAATGTATATGATACATCATATACATAAACAAACTAAACCCTGATTAATATTACAGTGAAAAGCACCACTAGAATGTACTATATCAAAATTATAGTTCATAAAGTTGACACACGAAACATGTCGTACACATTTGAACAAGTCAAGTTTTGGGACACTAGAATAACTCATAATGGAGTATATACGAAAAATATAACCTATTTTCACTCATATGAATGTATCTGCTACATAATATACACAAATAAACTCATTACTGTTACACTGAAATCCAAACACTGTTGAATATAATATATCAAATTTATAACTCATAAGGATATATGCACGAATCATATAGTAAACAATTGAACAAATCAAATTTTTTGTACACTTGAATATCTAAAAATAGAATATACACGGAACATATAACATCTTTTCAACAATATTCATGTATATGATACATCACATACACAAACAAACTCATATATCATTACTGTTACATTGAAAACGCACCACTGTTGAATCTATTTATTTATAAAATTTGGAGTTTAAATTTGGCACATAATTAAACTGCAAAGTCATATATTTGAACATCAAATTAAGTTGTGTAACCAATACACTTTATTTAGTCCAAATTATAAAGAAAAAAATGGATAGAAGTACCATGAACACTAATGTCCTATTTTGAAACATGATTTCAATTCTATTTCGGGAAGAAAGTACAAGTTCTCCTGTTATGTCCTTCTTGTCCACACTGCCCACAACAATTATTGTTCACTGTTATTTTCTCATCCGCATTTTTCTTTCTTCACTTTCTTGGTCGTCCAGCCAACCTTCTATACCTAGGTGGCCGAAAAATTTCATCTAAAACATATTCTGGAACGTTCCAATCCTCCTTATCTGGCTCTGAAACCATTACAACCTCGTACGTTTTTTCTAATGCATACGGCTTGTAGTAATCAGAGCAATATGGGTGTAAATTGGTAACATTCTTGTGCTTCAAAACTGCAATTGCGTGTGCGCAAGGTATCTCATCATGTTGAAACCTTCCACATGTGCAAGTTTTCCTCTCAAGACATACAATGTATCTTTTTCCGGCTTCATGAACTGTGAAAATATATTCAGATGATGGAACAACCTAACAATTAAAGAAGTTAGTGATACATTACGTAATATATAATTTATATATCATTTTCAAAAAAACACTTAACATTGAAAATCAGTTTGTATCTGATACATAAAACAGAAATTCAATGAAATTGATAAATACCTTCATCTTTGAACTTTTAGATGCGTTTACAATCAATATCTCCTCAAATCTTCGGCCCAATGTGTCCTTTGTATATGACGCTATTTCTCTATTTTTATAGTTCCAACTACCAAATAAAAATCTAGCTTCCTCCAAGAAGTCTATTATAGTTAACTTACGTGCATCGACAAGGCATCCATTGATACACTCAGCGATGTTCAAAGTCATCATTCTACTCTCTGTTTATGGTTGAATTAACTCTTGACCACTTCTCATAACCAGATTCGTCAAGGTAAACCTTAGCCATTAATTTATCAAAATCTTCCTTTCTGTATGCTTTTGCCATTGAGTAAAATATATCACTTAGTGTTTTTTTACTCCTTTTGAAGCTTGAACATACATTCTTCCAAACATGCCATATGCATGCACAATGAGGTACGTTTGGGTATACAATGCTTACACTCTTTATAATACTTTCATTTCTATCCGATACAATACACATGTTTTCACGCTCACCAAATGCATTTTTGAAATTTTCGAAGAACCATGTCCACGAACAGTCATTTTCAGTGTCTACAACACCATATGCCAATGGCAATATGCATCCTAATTACAAAGAATATCACATTTAACTTCACGATACACAATGTTTACACTAATATATATTAATATAAATATAATATAAGTTATACATTACATCAGAATTATAACAATCATACCTGCACCATCGAGTGTGCTTGCTGATACAAAAGTACCCTTGTAAGCCCCGCCAAGATGTGCAGCGTCCACTACAACTACAGGCCTGCAGTAGTCGAACCCTCTTATCAACGGTCTTAGGGCTATGAACAGATACATGAATTTATTATCTTCCGTCTTTTGCATCCTTATATATGAATTTGGATACACTTTATTTAGCATCCATATGTATCTCGGCATCTGTTTATATCCTTCTGATGGCTTACCCTTGAGCATTTCTAGTGCACGTTCTCTAGCACGTCATGCTTGTTGGTACGATATCTCAACCCCATACAATTCTCTAATATCTTCAATTACATCTCGAGGTGTATGGATTCTTTTATGATTTACCAATTTAGGGGCAGTCACACCACTAATAAATCCAATTGTTGCTTGTACTTTTGTTAGTATCCTATCCCGCATCGGACATGTATGTTCACTATTGAATTATCTCACTTTGAATACATCAGATTTTTTTCTGCAAGATGATTTTAAAGTCCATCCACATTGGTCGCTGAAGCAAACCAACACATAGCTATCCAAAAATTTTAATTGGTTTAATTCATATAACAAAAGCAATGCTATAAATATCACAACTAGATATAGACTGTTTATAAATTATGTATCAGATACAATATAAATAAAAATATAATAGAGAAAAACAAACAGATCATACAGTAAGCATTCAAATACCTTTTCTTATCCGATCTTTTCACTCGAAAATTGAAGTTGTTCCTTATTTTATATTTAGCCATTACAGCAACGACTGTACCTTTGTCCTTATACAACTGCCCAGTCTTCACTTCAGTATTATTGGATCAGTTATGTAATTTGTAGCATTTAATTCTGGAATATAATCAACGTCACAAATTCTCGACTCGACCAGAGCAAGAGCTTCAGTATCTCTTTCGGTACCTTCCACGCATAAGACTTCACCTGATGAACAATCAAAATTACGTATATCCCCAACAATTTTATCGGTTGTATCAATACCCGTGTCAATTCCAGATGTATTCTTTTTCACTTCGGAATAAAGTTTCACACCCATGTCGTTTTTTATTTTCAACGGACATGAGCTTCCCTCGACAATGTATCGTATTTCAATATCCTTTGTAACAGTGTCGATCTCAAGCTCTGCTAAAATCAACGTTTTCAGATTCACAAATGAAATGGAATGGCCAACAACAATTCCATCAACTTTGTAACCTTCATAATTAATATTGCTTACCCAAATTCCAGAATGCCGCAGCAGAATTGAGATATTCATCTTCAAAACCTTTTTTTTGTTTTGAATTCTTAGTATGTAGATCAACCTTTACAAGAATATTTTTGAATTATGAAGTTAATCTGATTTAAAATTTGAATTTACTAATCAGTTACACAACCTGAAGACCATTAATTACGTGATTTCAGTTAATAATAACAGAAATCACGGTAATTAATCCTAATTAAACGCAACAATTTTAAATGTGGTGTATCGGTAATTATGTATCCCGTGCCAAATGGATGTATCCCGCTTCTTTTATTTTTAAGGGATTTTTAGTAATTTCAATTCTTAAAGGGATAAATGGTCATTTTGTATTTATAATATGTGGCTCCTATAATTTATACAAATAATAATTATAAATAAAAACCCAACTTCTCATACCCCACAAAACCCATAAACAACTAACAAACATTCCTATACACACACAGCTAAACTATCGGACACTCCTATACACACGACTAAAAAACAAATAAATCAGGAACCTAAAAAAAGAGACTCACACACCCACGTATCTGGAAAAACAGAGAGTGAAACGTATCCTATAAATATACTTCACAACGTCAGCTAACAGACAAATATATGGAGGAGAATATATAGAAGAAGAAAAAATACGATAGCAAAGAGAAAAGAGTGAAAAAGTGAGTTTGATTCTCAGAATTAAGTTATAGTAGAATTAAGTTATAGTATGAAATTTTGTTCGCGGTTTCAGTTTCGTGGTTTTAAAAAGTTAATTTAGGATTATTAACTTTGGAAATAAGTAAATCACAATAGTTACTTATTTTTTCAGTGGAAATTTTTGTAAGAGGTAACAACTTACTTCCTTTTCCTGTCTCTTCGCATTAGCATAAAAATGTATACTATATTGCTTTGTTTTTTAAGCCGAATTTATATAAATTTTTGCTCAACCTCGTACTTTTACTTGTCGCATAAATTTGATATATTTATTCTCTTTGAATTTTTATTAACTTTTTGTTTTAAAAAAGTTTATTAGTTGATTCATGTTATCTTATTTCACTCAGTGAAAACATAAGTGTTAGTGACATGGAATTGATAGTTGACTTAAGAATAATGTTCCAACTTGTTGAATGGTGGAGTATCATATATGTAATAATTTATAATATCATAGGATATCACCTCTGTTTACTTCAATTTTATTTTTGATTACTTTAATTTTATAAAATTATATAGACCAAAAAATACTATTCATTAGTGAATTTGAAATGTTTGTGTGGAAAATATGTTTTAGTCCTTTTTTATTTTATTCACTTTCGACTAAGTAGTTTGCCTTTAGATTAAAAATGAGATGCTTATTGCTTTAATTTAGTTTATTAAGTATGTAATTAAGAGGAGATTAGCTTTATTTAGGAATCCATTTGAAAAATTGTATAGAAACAGAGAAAGAAAAATCAGTTAGTTCATTAGAAAGAGAGAAAAAAATTTGAAAAAGGATAGAACGAGAAAGAAAAAAGAGAAAGAAAATAAACTTAAAATTAAAAAAGGAAAATGATCAAATATGCCCCTAAACTATTAGAAAAGATTTAGATATACCCTTCGTTTAAAGTTTGGTTTATGCCCTCGCCGTCCAACTTTTGGTCCAAATATGTCCATATGGGCGTTAGTTGTCATATTGGACATATCCAACTCATAAACATCTAATTCGACCCATAAATCAGCTCATTTTAAATTCACTATCCGATCCATTTTTAACAATTTTGTTTAATTTTTATTATTGCGGTAAATCACGAAAATGAGTAATTGATTAATAAAAAATAGAAAAAAATATGAAAAAATATAAAATTAACGCCAAAAATTCATAAATAAATATAGTAACCTTAAATCTAACATTTCAATTTTTTTAATTCTTTTTTTTGATAAATCTCAAAAAATGAGTAATTAATTAATAAAAATTATGAAAAGTATGG